GTTTGTGTTTGTATAAAGCGAGAGAAAATTGTATATATACATATATTTTCGTTCCCTTCTCTCCCCTCTCCCAGATCTCACTCGCCACTCTCCCAGATCTCGCTCTCTCACTCGCCTCTCTCACTTTATACAATTGATCTTTTTGTATATGTATACCAAAATAGATTATACAACTGCTTTATTTTGTATATGTATAGCGAAATATACATATTTATGTTTGCTATGAAGCGCAATTATGCAAACTTTGCTATAACATACAAATATGAATTTTGTGTTTGCTATATGTGAAAGTTGCTCTTGTTAAAATTGTATAATTTGGATTAGAGGAATTGGGTTCAAAATTGGGTAGAACAAAATGGCTGAATAGATTACAATTATGGTCATATAAAATTTAAAACATAACCGAATTGAGTTGATTTAGCGAATCCGGCTAGAATTTAAACACGATGAGTTAAGATTGATTAATTAACGAGCTTCTTAATCTCAACGAAATAAAATAGTTAACTTAATTATAAACTAATTATTTCAAGAATGTAAATTATTATATAACTAAACTAATTAACCAAATATTTAATTAAAATTAAAATCTTTTTGAGACGATTTTCGAATATTCATAAAATGTACTAATTAATACATACATAATTATGTAAAATCTACATATTATTCAAAAAAAAAATTAAAAAAAATGATAACATTACTTTAACTAACTTGGAAAAAGTATTTTGAATTTTATAAAGTCAATTATTTCAACTCGTTTGGAATTTAAGAAGCTCGATGATTAATTTAAATTGTGGAGGTCTAAAATTGGGTGTCAACAAAAATCTTTAATAGGAAGCATGCGCGAATCTAAATTAATCAAACTCTAATACTAACACGGAAAAAAAAACTTAGTATGATAATTAATTATGTGTCATGTTGTTTGGATAAGGTAATACACATTTGTGAAGAAAGTGTCAATAAAACTTGTATTTCACTTTGGCAACACAATTTCAGTACGCAACAACGACACACAACTATGCTCTTGTTTGTGAATTTTAATTCAAATGTGATGCATACAATCAAAAGAATAATATTGATCTTTTCAAATTTGTGTCACAATCACACAGTGATTAAACCGCATAATTTAACGTAGTATATTATATTATATATAATTCTTCCTTCTTGTGAAAGTATAATACAAGTCTCTTCTCTCGAGTTTTCTATAGAAAAGTCATATATAGTTTGAATTGTAATATTTTGTGTTGTTTGGGTCTTTTTTCCTATTCTTCACTTCATTATTAATCAGATTAAATCAGATCTAGTAGCTAAGATAATTACTTGATGTAATGAGTGTCTTTTATTCATTGTTTATAAGGCAATCGATAGAAACCTAACCAACACATAAAAATTATTGGAATAAAACAATTCAAAGAACACGCAGATGAAAAGTAATTAATTGACAAAGTATAGCAACGATCTAAAAATACATGTTTTTCCCTTCTTCAAATGAGCTGATCTTTAATTTTTGCCATTTAGCAAATCAAAATTATGCTTAATAGCCATCCAAATCCAATGATCTGGACTGGATTAGTGGATTATAATGAAAATTGACCTAAGTTTTGCTTGATTTATGGATCAGATATGATGGGACTGGACTTGGATCAACACAAGATTAGCCCAAACCACTTAAATAAAAGGAAGCATTAACTTTAGAATACTCCCGCTTAAACTAAAAATAGCCGATAAATATACAATATACGTATAATATGTGTATAATTAATTGTTAACATTGATAGACAGATCATTATATTAAGATATTAGTAGTTGGAAAATCATTGGCATAATTCTCAAAGTTAAAACTAGAGAACAGTGTCCTAGTAAAATATGTTCAATAAGAAATATAATTTTACCCTTTTGGACATCAATCAAAACCTAGCCCTTGTTTAATTTGTTTCACATAGAGCTAGGAACCAACTTTTCTTTTTATTTCCATTCTGATCATTTTCTTTTTTGGGATCATTTCTCAGCGTGTTATACTTGCACATGAGTCATGCTAATCTTCTCTGTATTGTTCCAATTTCCACTTTGATCATGATCACATTCAGGAGAGGCATATGGATGTTTACTTATAATCCTGAAATCAACAACTGATCAATTACTAATTAATACCAAAGAGAATTAATTGAACATGCATTATTTTAAAATAACATATGCCCTTTGGAAAAATGGTCCAACACTTAGAAAAAAAAATGAGGCGGGTGAACAGTAAAAACGCTCACTGGAAATTGCCTTTCCTGCCGGACAGATTTTACGAAAATGGGCATAACTTCTTCGTCCGAACTCCGAATGAGGTTAAACGAAGTGCCTTAGGTAGCTAACTCAAAGGGCTTTCCATGGATATGTTATTGGCCTGACATGACGTTTCTCAAAGAATCTCTTGAGGGATTTCCTTCTTGCAATTGGCAAGTCTAAAGTAGAAAACAACATAATCCATCAAAATTTCAGATAATCAACCAATGTAAGATGAAGAAGTGTAGTCGAATGGATAAAATGTTTCTACTTTTATTCAAAGAGCTCAGGTTTGTTTTTATTTTTTTCCTTTTAGTATGTCTAACACAACGTGAATTCAAATTAGTCAAATCAGATCACCTGCTTGAAACTTGTAGACATGATGTGGAACTTGGGATTTCTGAGTTGGTTTAATTTCCTTTGCATTACAGTTTTCACGAGCCAGAATCATAATTGACTCTGCCCTATAAGGAAAATTTTCAAAACCAACAAATATAAGTAAAAAAAGGTACAATTTTTGCGACTTGTTATATTTGTAGATACCTTTTGAACGGAAATATTGTCATAAACGTGCACAACTCCAGCATAGAATATAGTTAACTGTTCTGATTCAGTCTTGTCCCTTTGTGAAACAAGAGCCTTCGTATCATCATGCCTATATATATATTTGAGAAATACCAAAGGAATTAATTAAAATGCAAACACAATTAGTATCGCAATCAGATCGATAATTAATTACGTTTGATTATATTAAATATGAAGTAAGTATTGATTAAGTAGATATTTTGACATACCCAAGTTGTGGTAAAATAGCCAACTCTAGATTAGACATCCTTCTTTGACCAACAATATTGTGTACATATTTGTTCAATAAATCATGAGCTAACTCATCTGTAGAATTATTCATCGAACATGAAATGCTAAACTTTTTTTTGGACTATTTAATCTTCAACAAACTAATTGGTGCTGCACTATATATATATATANTGAATAAACTATATATATATATATATATATTGTATGCTGAGATAAATACCTCATTTAAGTATTGGTCTGTGCAAAGTGGATAGAATTAAGTAGTTAAATAGTGTAAAATTAAAATAATGTATGTGGGGTTGGAGAAATTATTGGAAATAGCGCCAAAAATAATATATTGAAGTAGTTATGGCATCTCGATGAATTCGAAATTGAAAACGTTTTTCACAACAACTCCCTTCTCAGATAATTGGAAGCTTGGCAGATCATATATATATATAACAATTAATTAAATATTTGTTCTACTTTTTGGACATATTCTAATTACAAAATTGTCACCCAGGAGATCCGTTTCTCTTCACGACAAGACAATAATATATACCAGTCGTGGAAGTGCCAAATTTTTTACTATCAAAATAGGAACAAGTAAATACAAGAAAACGTTGAAGAAAATTTAATATCTATTATATTTACATAAAAATCAATTTTAATCATATATAAATAATGCAATTTTATATCGAATGGGGTTCGAATAAATCCCCTTAATCCTTACTAACTCCACCATGTTGATCAAAAGCACTAAATTCTCTTCTAATACCGGGAAATTATACGGAATGACCTTAAAAATGTGTAGTTATGAGTTTTTTGACCCTCCCACGGACGAACCTTCAAGGTCAAAAGTGTTGTCCATGAAGTAAAACTTATTAAACGTGAAGTTTTGTGTATGGGGCGAGTGGACTAAGCCCATTTTAGGGGTTGATGTGCCCAGGGCGGCTCAACATAATTCCAGGCCTAAAGCAAAATTTTAATTAGAGGCCTAAAATTAAAATAAATTTTATCTGTATTTATTTACTTTTCTAAATTTTTAGATGTAAATTATTACTTAATATCTTTTTTATAAATGATTTTTTTCAAATACTTTTTAAAATTATTATTTTTTAAGCAAGATTTTATCAATTCAACATTGAAAAACATCATTATTGAGACAATTATTATATGAATCGATAATATAGTTCTATAAGTAATAAGTTGATAAATAAAGTTGATAACTTGGTATACCCTACTTTAATATGAAAAGTTACGAAGAAATAAAAGAATATTTGTAATTTACTTTGTTCAACATTTTTCGGCTATTGATTCATATTTTTGACAGAATATTACTCTAACTATCAAAGATTTGAAAAAATAGAGTGCATAAGGAGTTAAAAAGGATAAATAATGTGAGTGTAAGAGAAGAATATATATATATATATATATATATATATAAATGTACTTTTTATTATAAATAATTAAATTTTTTTCATGAAAAAATTAAACATGATTTTTTATTTATAAAAATTTGAGGCCCACAATAAGGCATTGGCCTAAAAATTTATAGGCAAGAGCGAAATCTAAAAAACTTAAAGCCCACATTGTATAAGAAAGGAAGTTTGATAAAACTATTGGTGTTCAAGTAGAATCTTGCAACCACGTCGTAAGCATAACTTGTCTCATGAAAACATTGCTAAGCTGTATATGTTGTGCTTAAGTTTTGACAAATTAGTAGTAATAATTTTATTCCTTCATAATGATTAACCTTCTCTTATTGTCTGTCTGTAGCACCAAAACAATACATGTCTAGCTACTTCCATTATAGACGAAAAACACAACTAATCAGGAAAACTTAAAACATGTTCCATAGTACCTTGCAACGATCAATGTTGTTTGATGTATGATCATTTCTCCAAAAACTTCTCTGTTTTTCGCCATATTCTGACCAAGGATTGCGCGGAAGTTTCTTTGGTGCATAATGGGCATTATAATATCTGTGATCTTCTTTTCTTTGGGAATAATTGTTCTCCTGATATTTCATTTCTGCATACAAGGGAGGTCCTTAATAAGGCAGACTGCTGAAAATGGTCTCGTTGTTCGAAGAAGTAGCAGCAATGGAGGAAGTACAAAAATGTCTGATGAAGACTTGAAGAAACAGACAGAGACAGAACAGAAGATACCTCGGAATGTGCTGTGTGCTTAGAAAGATTCAAGACAGGAGAAAACTGCAGATTGCTGACAAATTGCAACCACAGTTTCCATCTCAAATGCATTGATTCATGGTTGATACAGACACCATACTGTCCAATTTGTCGAACAATTGCCCTGAAACAGTCCTGCTAAGCATATATGTGGAAAAGGAATGGATTCTTTAGCATATAATGCACACACATTTTGACATTTTTAGCATTCTTCTTCTTTGACTTAGCACCAAATTATGTTTCATTGAATTAAGCTCACTAGATAAAATGTAACTAGTGGATCGTACTTGATGGAAGTAACAGTAGCTCTACCTATACCTTCACAAACTGTCCCTACCCTATTGTGTACTAGACATACTTTCACTTCTAGGGGAGTTCTGATGCAACGGACCATGAGGTTAGGGGTTCAAGTCATTGAAACAACCTCTTGCATAAATGCAAGGTAAGACTGGATACAATAGATTCAATATCGTGTTGCCTTTCCTAGACCAATGAATAGCTAGAGCTTGGTGCAACATATAAACAGCTTTGTTAAGTTCAAAAGTGAACTCCTAGGCGTTTTATGAAGGTCTTATAATTACATACCTTAGTTATAAAGCCATAGTTAGATCAGCAACAAAGATTCGTCCAGCAAGCAATTGGTGAGTTTTCAACGTCGCTTGGGCCTCATAAGCTAACTCAGAGAATGGTGAAAACAAATTTTATTGATAGGTGTACACATGGAAAGAAAAAGAACACTATGGTTCAACATTGATATTCAAGATTTATCAGTCACTTCGAGACTACTTTTTGGTTGAGTAGGGTTAATACATCTCCAAAAGAAACCTAAACAACTACCCATTATGTTCATAATGATAACTGAAGTTGCAGCAGGTAATGCAACTCCTGGTGAAGAGAAATGGGAGGTCGCTAAAACCACACCCAAGGTGCAATTTTGCATGCCCACCTGCAAGAAGTACAGAAATTTTAACATCATTGGCTGCCTATATCAATGGGAAGAACAAGGACAGAGAAGGAGAAGCCATTTTTTTGTTTAAGGCTCCATTTGGCTGGAACTAGTAACTAGTTCAAGATGAAATACATTTCATAAGATTTGTTGTACAGAGAAAGATTATTCAAACCATTTTCCTGAATTTAGTTGAAATTATACAAGGTTGTGGAAGGAAATGGTATAGGGAGGCAATCTTCCATTCCGTTGAGTAAAATATTTTTGCAACAAAAATAAGTTCTTAACTTGAGAAATTAAAACTAACAAAAGTGGAAATCATATCCGGGAAGATATTGGTTTCATCCATGAGAAATATATGTCATTTAAACAGACCACTGATTAAAAAGGTCTCGGGCTACTAAGAACAAATAGGAACTTGTTACCAATGTGATCTTTTCCATGCTTGACAAGAATTTACCAAAGTAGTAAGTGCGGGAGTCTTACTCCCGTCAAGAATGTACCTCGATGGATACAGCTCGTCTTTGAGGCTCGCTAAAACCGGCCAAAGCAGCAGATAGATACCTGATGAAGATCTCAACATAATCGCATGATTGCTAAATCTGGTCAACAGATTGAAACAATGAAACAAAGATAATCTTACCCAACAAAGAAACCAGCAAAATGAAGCGATGCAACAGACACCGCAACGAGTCCGAATTCGCTAGCTAGCACATTCTGAGCACGACCGAGTAGAGGCAAATCAGAAGAGAATGACATGCCAACCACAGAAGATCTTAGACGACCAACATTTTCAGAGAATACACTGAACAGAAAAAGGGAAAAAATTAGTGTAAGAAAGGGATGAAACAGGAAAGGGCAGTTGAGAAAACAATCAATCGAAAATGATTTAGGACCAACAATTGAACCTGGCAGAAACAAGAGATATAGCTAAGACTGCAAGAAGGGGAGCAAAAGGTGTAATTTTTTTCACAGCTTTCGGAAATTTGTGCTGCAAATAAGAACCCAGTAGAATTGGAGCAACCACAACCTAAAAAAGAAGCAACAAAAGAAATATTAAATTATTAAAACCAGTAAACATATATAGACAGTGTAATGAGTCAAAACTCAAAAATATCATTATAATTACACATAATAGTGAAATAACATAACCTGGAGAGTGCTGATAGAAAGCTTAACAGCATCCACAGGAACATAAGTTCCTGCCAGAATCATTGTCAACAAGGGAGTCAGAACCACTGCACCAATTGTAGTGCATGCTGTCATCACTATTGATAATGGGACATCTCCTTGTGCAATTAAGGTTACCTGTAAATTAATTAGAAAACAAAAAAGAGGCTTTGCAGTAAGCTTTATGCTATAAGACCTATATATTCACAATATCAAGAAGCTGATATCCGAGTACAAGATAGTGCATTCAATAAAAGCAGATATTTCATTAAGATCTTGTGTTCCAATCAGAAGAAAGAAACTGGCAGACATGAAAAATTGCAACAGAAGTGGACTTCTAGTCGGATGTGAAGGATACACAGAATTAACTTGCTAAAAGCCTTGGCGAAAGTGAGAATTACACCTTTCTGTAAAGCACGATTATTGTATGATTCGCCCCAAATTACTTGCATTCCTCAATAATGAAAAGGAGGACAAAGTCTTTTTAAGGAATTGCTTCCAACATACAACTATTTTCTCCTCGCAACACCATACCTTTTTGTTTGATTATCCTCTCTGGGCTTGTCAATTTGAATTTGAAATGTGACAATGAAGACCATAAATAATATATAACATGGATCCCAAAAGCACCAAATGAATTTCAACTAAAATTCAGTGGAGCTACCACAGGAAAAGCAAACCTACCATGGCTTCATACCATTGTTGAAATATGATGCAAAGATTGGACATCTACAATCTAAACATGTCAATTTGGAAGGTAAACCTGATTAACTAGCTCCGTTAAGGAGAACAATATTGAAGAAAGTCACCTTACCACGTTAGACGCTGTACCTCCAGGGCAACAGGCAAGCAATATTAGACCAACTGAAATTGAAGGAGGCAGACCCAAGATTTTGCTGAGAATCAGTCCCAAGGTTGGCATAATAGTATATTGAGCAGCACAACCAAACAGAATCTAGAAAGATGAGGGAAAACCAAAGATTTTGGCCTATAAGAGTTTACCATATATGCAAATATATTGTCCGATCAAAGTTTAAGTAACAAAATTAAAAATTGTGTTCTCTTCATTTAATCAAGAAATCAAGCAGTCATCATGTCCTTAAACCAAATGTTTGGACTAAGTGAACACATATACATTCTTTCTTTGAAAGCTTGAATTGAATGTTATTATAGCGTGCGAATGTTATAATTGTAGTCCAAATGTGGGACCAAGTGGATATGCGTGCTTAATGCTTCTTTTCTGTGGACTATATTTCTTTCTTTTGAAAGCTCAAATTGAATGTTCCAAGATGCGAGTGCTACATATTTGTAGTCATACATTCGAATGAGGGGAATAGGTAATCATGTTAGCAGTGAATAGCACACATGTGACTATCCTATTAGTTGAATTTTCCCCAAGGAGCTAATGAAGTTGGCTATGGAAGATTAGGTAACATCTCTTATGGAAAGATTAGAGAATAAAGACAATCTGTCAGCAATTAGCATCATTAAGTACATATTATGCACCCAAGGGTGTGGGCTAGTGGTCAATGAAGTGGTTGAGAACCTTGAGGTCTCAGATTTAAAACTCAGCGGAGACAAAAAAAACACTAGGTGATTCTTCCTATCTGTTCTAGCCTTGATAGACAGAGTTACTTGGTACATGTTGCTACTGGAAGGTGGCAGGTATCCCGTAAAATTAGTCGAGGTGAACGAAATCTATCCCGGACACCACGGTCATAAAAAAAAAAGAGTACATATTATTGCCTGGCCCATAGAAACATTCAGAAAGAGAAATACAATATTTCTGGGAGTTAGATTCAGTAAAATTTACAGTTAGTAAGAAAATAAAAGCCAGGGGAAGGAAATCGTGGCCATCTTTTAAGAAGTGTTCTACTCCCTCCTTACCTTTTTAGTTTGTTTCAAAAAGAATGTCTCATTTCTTTTTCAACAACTCTTTAATTCTAACTTTCCATGTCACATGTTTAAAACTACAAGATTAAAACACATTTTGATACATTCTACATATAGTTAGTTTAAGATCACAAGAATCAAAAGACTTTCTTTATTTTCTTAAACACTCTGCCAAGTCAAAACCAAACAAACAAATTGAAACACGGAGAAAGTAGAGAGTATGGGTTCAGTCAAGATTGTAAGAAATCCCCAAGTTCAGTACTTAATCAACAATCAAAAGAAATTACGACAACAAAATCAAACAAGTGAGTAATCAAAAAATAAAAAATAGAGTGTATACTCACAGAAAGAGGCTTTTGTAATAACAAGTTAGTTAACTCTTTGATCTCCAATGTAAGACCCATAGCAAGCATTATAAACCAAAGACCCAAACTATAGGAAGTAGGAGCACACTTGACAAACCAAGAAAAGTTGAGGGCTTTAAGCAGGCAACAACCCCACCAACGGTTACATAAACAGGATAAAGACTTTCTGCAATTGACACCCAGTTTTCCCATCTGGGTTTTTCTTGAATCACAGAAAGATTCTGAAAATTTTCAGGAACACAATTTACTTTCTTGAAATTGGGATTTAAAATCTTTGGAGTTGTTAAAGTGGTAATGGGGTTGATGGGTTTATAAAGGGGGATTCTTGAATAGTGTTTTGGGGTTGAAGTGAGAGGAGAGAAGCAAAGAGATATGGCCATAGCTGAATTGGACGAAGAAAAGCTTCAAGCTTTCTTGAATTTGGGAAGTTGACTCTCAATAGTTCGATCAGTAGGGGGATTGTTCATTCTTGACATGGAACTTTACAGTATCTTTTGTGTAGTTAAAACAAAAAAACATATAAAAATTATTCTTTTATTTTAAATCTTTTGTTTGTGTCATTGTGTGTACTGTATGCAATTTTTTTTTAAAATTATGCGTGAATTATTAACATTAGAAAAAGCACTGTAATCTTTTGATCCTCCAACTTAGAACCTCAAATTAAATTACCCTAAAATCTTACTAAATTAATATAGATTGGATCGCGAATATTATTATTTTATAAAAGTATTATTTAATCAAAAATTAATATTTATTAATTTAAAGAGTGTTTTGAGATTCAATAAAGGTCAATTTTGATTACATCAAAAATTCAAAATCACGATATCTTACTAATTTATGTATCATATTCACTGAATTCACATTAAAAAAATTATTATACATAAAGTACAATAAATACATCAAAATTTGTATCTTACTAAATTATGTATCATGTTTATTGAATTCACATAAAAAAATTTATCATACATAAAGTATAATGTATGTGTATGATTCACTGTAATATATATTTAACCTTTGGAACCAGTTACGTGTAAGGAACACTTATCGCAACTAGAACTCAAAATTTTATAGTGCAGTTCGAAAAGACAACATCGAATTTTTTTATGCAATTAGAAAAGTTAGAAATGAGCTTCAACTAGATCTAATTTTATTTTATTTTTAAAAAAACACAATAGAATCATATTTCACTAAATTGTCTTAGATATATTTGTACTTTTAAAGAATTAGTATTTTTTAATATTAATGAGACCAAATATTTATAAAGAGGTCTTCTGAAAATATATTATTTTATTATCTTATCGAAATGAGTGATTTTTCTACTAACTCAAGTCGAGATCCAAGAAAAATATTATCTTAGAGAGATTATTAATTTACCAAGTACTAATTTAGTGATATTTTATGTAAATGAAAGGGTGGGAGTATCTCTTTATTAATACTCCCTCGTTTCATTTTCACTTTTCATAATAAACTTGCACTTTCTTAAAATATAATAAATGTTTTAAGAGATAATTTGAAAATACTTAAATAATTAATATTAAAAATAAATTATATTTTATTTTTAATATGTTAAAATGGATAAATAATTTTTTTTTTAATGTAATAGACAAAGTAAAAGTGAACGATTGAGAGTAGATTGTTATTTATTCGTATTATTAATTTAAAGGTGGTAAATATTAGTAATTTAAATTGAGCATTATAATGTATTATTATATTTAACTTAGTTTATTATTGTAAATGAGTAGGAGACCCACATCTTTTCGATTAAAATATATATTATTTCTAACAATCTAAATACAAAGAAATACTCAGTGCCAAATATATATATTCATTTTTTTTTCCGTCCAGATTTATACGTCAGTTACCCACGCTTTATTAAGATAACTTTTATTTTGATAAAAAAAATAATAGTAAATAACTTGTGTTAAAAAGAGTCATCAACTTGTGAATCAAAAAATTGTCTATGGAACCATTTTGGAGAAGAACCCCATAACTCTGAAATCAACTATATAAATTTTCTTTAATTTCTATCAGTTCCCCTCTACTTCTTTTTTTATAAATAGCTTTTTACGATAACACATATATTCATTAACAAAGATTGATAAAATAGCTTTTTACGATAATAAATATATTCATTAGCAGAGACTGATAAAATTTATCGATATAAGTTAATAATAATTGGATTCAATTTATAAAGGATGTCAATTACCTCTAAAAATATATATTTAACAGCAATAAACTATTACCGTCAAAGATTATTTTTGATGTAGTGAAGTATACTTTATTCTTTAAATTACATGTAATATAGTTTGCAAAAAATAATAGTGAAGTAGTAATTAAATAAAAATGGAGACTCATTGTTTACAAGATAGTAATATATATATTTTATATTCAAAATGAAATGTCGATGATATTCATGGCTAAGCTCTCCATCATTAGATATTCCATTTCTCCTACGCAATATTTCTTCTTACTGCTACCTTTCCCTGCATTTTTCAAACACGTAATATTAGAATAATATTCTCCTTAATTGTACTACAATATTACTGGGTGCAATTATTTTATATGTATATATAGTAGACGTTGATGAATACTATGTTAACTTTTTTCATATTTTGAATCGACTATGGGAAAATCATGATTCCAATAGGAATATGAAAGAAGAAGCGAAGTGCATACCGTAAAAAGAATTAGGCATTGTTTTTTGGTGAAATGTTGGAAGATTAGAGAGCTTGTTGAGTGGGCAAGAGGAAAGTGGAATTATTGGTATATTTTGGCAATTGCAAATTTCAATCATGTTGCCATCTGGGTCATGAAAGAATAGTTGATCTACTGTAGCTCCACCTTCTTTTACAGTAGCAGTTACATATTCGACATTCATATCATTCAATCTCTGAATAATAATATCCATATCTGTACATTGAAATGAAATGTGATTGTCTTTTGGGTTTATTTTCCCCTTGTTCGATTGCGCATCTTCTTTTCCTAGCAAATGGATTCCAATTCCGTGGTTGAACAACCTATAATTATTAAAAATATAAATATTAACTATATGTATGAATGCGCGCACAATATAATTAGGAGGGAGAATATATATATATATATATACCAAGCTCCTTCAAATTGGAAAGAAGAGGGCCTCTGGATGAGAGTAAAGCCAAGAACTTGTTCATAAAATTTGACAGATTTGGGAACAGATTTACAGATATAGGAAACATGATTCAATGCCAACATAGGCATACTATTCATGTCATTGGATATTGTTGATGATTCTGATCTCATTATCTCTTTTCCCATTCTTATTTCTCTTGTGAAATTGAATACTCCTTTTAGTTGTGTGTGGAGTTTTACATATGAGGGCTGAGCTCACACATATATATAGGCAGGAATGAGCTCTTTCAATTGTGTTAGGTGGGAATGGGAATGTACCAGGAGGACCCTTTAATTTATCCAGCTAACAACAAACATAAACCTGTCCCCCCAGGCCCCCACCCCTCAAAAAACACATAATATCTCTCTGCACTTTTTGATTGCGGTTGGAACAAGTTATCCCAAGATTAGTTATTCTGGGGCTGGGGTTAACTATCCTGAGATAATTTATCTCATCATGTTTATGAGATAACTTATCCCATCGATATGATATAAATTGTGGGATAAATTATCTCAAACATAACAACCAAGAGACAAAATTTTTATTCCATCACTATTTATTTTTATCCCTCACACCAAACGACCCCTAAAATTTACAACTGTTGGATTGTTTGGGACTGACATATTAGAAAAAATTAATGTATGCATTGATTGATTTTATGTATTATTAATATTTGAGAAAAGACATAAAGTTATCATTGGTGAGTGATTGCACTTCTTTTCTTGCAATTGAGGTTGGGTGAAAAATGGATATTTATAACATTCTTAAATTGTTCAATGAGGTAATAGGACACTCACAAAATTAAGGTATCTTTTTAAAAATTCGAAATAAATTTAGTGATGACTTTATGTCTTTTCTTCCATATATATATTATATTTACTATGGGACATTCTTTAGATCTGTACACATTCAGGGACAGTGTATACAGCTGTAGCCCTTCAAATAGCACGTTTTTCTTAATTCTTTTTTAGCTTGTCAGAAATTAAATAAATTTGTGAAAGCACATGGAGTCGAAGCTAAGATTGAAGACACGTCATGAGTCCTAATAAATAGACATAATATATAGATATGTCTTTTAACTTGATTTCATTTCATATTTATGCCTTTTAATTTTGGATATGTAATAATAGATACTTAAATTTGTATAAAGTTGAACAAGTAGACACATGAGTTCTACGTGGCACAATTCACGTAGGACAAAAAATGACATGTAGAACATGTCTATCTATTTGTTCAATTTTATACAAGTTTAAGTATCTACTTGTGCACACCCAAAGTTAAATGATATAAATGTGATTTAAGCAAATTAAAGGACAAATTTATATATTATGCCTAATAAATAACCTTACTCGCTTTCATAATTGCTCTATTATTCTCTCTCTCCAATCTTTAAAGGAGTGATCTTAATGTGGATTGGATTGAGGGTCAAAGTGGTCACTATATATTACTCCATCGATCCCGTGATACCAAAACACCTATTTTGTTACTGTTATCTCCTGTATTCAGGTTAGTCAAAAATACAGAAACAGAAAAAGATGAAATAGACAGAATGTTTTTAATCTGAGTCCACAAAAATCACTGTGTTTCCTTAAGAAATTTAATCCCTTCACTGTACCTGAGGTTGCAGATTAATTCCTCCCAAGATAAAACGAATTAACCTATTAGAGAAGTAGTGGTACCTCAAACTTCAATAACTTCAGTGAACGCAAGAACAACAACAAGAGCACACACAGACTCAGTCGATCGACAATTTTGATTATGTAAGAAAATGTATGCAGAGAGGAAAAAATTTCAGTGTTTGAAAAAACGAAAACGACCTCTTATTTATAGCCATTAGCAGCAAGGAACGCGACTGTTCAAGCTCATTTTTTCCAGAACGTTGTGTCTTTTTGGGAAAAGTAACGACTTTTCGAAAGGAACAAATCCTTTCAAACGAATTTACCGTTACGCGCGAATTTCAAATAATTCGTTGCGAAATTAATTTCGTTATTTAACTAACATTCTGAATTAATTTATAAGAGAAAAGAAATGAATTAACAAATTGATTAAATAAATTTTGTCCAAAAAATATTATCAATCAATCATTTGCCAAAAATCAAATCCGAGCGAGCGACGACGACGGCGTGAGGGGCACCTTCTTCTTAACCCTTTAAGAACTAAAGGAAGTGTTTTCTAATATAAGGACAACAATTTTCTTTATTCTAGCAATATGATAAAATTGACTTTTCATTTGCACTTTGCAATGACTTTTCATTTTCCCTCCAAAATTGGTTCCCCCACTTTCCATTCTCTCTTCTTATTTCCCATTCACACCTTGCTAAACCCAACAGTTACTGAATAAAAAATAAATAAACGGATGACTCG